GGATCCAGCCTCCTCCTCCTCCGCGGCTGGCCGGGCGAGAGGCCTCTGGGCCCGGCCCCGTTCCCTCGTGTTTGTGTGTGTGTGTGTGTGTGTGAGAGAGAGAGAGAGACAGTGGGAGAGAGGGAGGGAGAGTGACCTCCCCCCCCCCGCTCCTCCCTCACCCTGGGTGACATTCATTTGGGCTTGTTTCACCAGCAGTTTGTGCTTGGCCTCTTACACAACTTTGCCTGCAGTTGTGCCCCAAGAACCAGTTAAGCAACCGCCGACGGACACGTAGGGCAAAACCCATCGCCCCAAACAGCAGAAACTGAGCGGGGACCAGGCAGACACCCCCTCCCCCGGGGGGGGCAGTGGTGAGAGAGAATGAGGGCGCTCCAGGGCCTCCCTTTCTGTTCCCTTGAGTCCTCCTGAGGACGGCTCCCTTGTGTTTCCCTTCTGCAGATGCGCTGCTGTGTCTTCGTTCTGTGAATCTACCGGAGTCTCACTAAGCCATGGGGGAAAACAGTCCTGAGAATGTCATCTATTACACAGTAGAGGAAGATGATTTGGCCCAGGAGGACAAACTCTTGAGATTTGTTGACAAGAATGGACTTCTCCCGGCCTCGTCCAGAACGGTCTACGACAGGACAACAGTCCTCATTGAACAAGACCGAGGGCCGCTGGAGGATGACGACGACGAAGGACCGTGCGGGGATTTCCTGCCTGATGATGGTCACGAGGACCGCTTTCATTTGATAGCTGACCATGAAGGAATGTCCCAGGGTTATGTGCAGCACATCATTTCCCCAGATCAGATTCACCTGACGATCCATCCTGGTTCGACTCCCATGCCACGAAACATAGAAGGAGCCACTCTCACTCTGCAGTCGGAATGCCCCGAAACAAAGCTTAAAGAGGTGAGTAGCAGACTTTAGTTTCCAGAGCGGTGGCTGTGGAGGCTTGCTAGCATATCACAGCGAAACCTCTCATGAGTCATGTGACACTGTAGAGGCTGCCGCTTGTCTTGTGATGCAAGCGGTGGTGGATGCGGGCCCTAGGTACTTTCTTTTGGGAAGGAGGCGACTTGGTTGGTCAGAGGCCTGCCAAGACCTTGGAGCTCTTTAAGTACTTGTTTTTTGCATTAGGTCTGAAAGCGAAACATTTTCAGCTATGCTTTGATTTGTTCTGTTTGCAAAGAAGGAAATGGAAGGAGAGCAAAACTGAATCCTGAGAAAATGGGTGGACTCGAATATAGAGAGGATCTTCTGAATCTTAGGATGCAGTTTTAGCATTGACCAATCCTGAGATACATTTTGTTTTTGTTTCTTTCATTGTAACTGCTGACATTTCTGGTTTGATTACTTTCATCTTCAGTAAACTCTGTATCTCAGTAATTCTAATGAATTGCTGAGAAAGCTGTTGAAATACCTTTTGACTTTTGAAGAATTGGGGATTAATATGATGGCATTAGGTTTAGGAATAACAAGACTCCTTATCTCCATTATTTTTCTTGAGAATAATGTTTGCTTAGAATTTGTGTTGCAGTTTTTGTTGCTCTGCTAATTATATTAAGAGTCTTTGAACCAATACCTTATCTTAAATCTGAAGCCGATGGAAATAGAGTAATTATTTATCTGTGCCTTAGTATATTCAAATGTGGTTACACTTACACATTTCTATGAAGGCATAAAAATACTGTTTGCTAAAGATTCTGTGCTTGTGCTTGAAGTTTGGATTTAGATGTCCTTTAGAAAGGGGGTTCCTCTGGTTGATTGTGCTGTGATAGTTTGACTGCCTAGCAGTCTGGTGTAGGGGTTTAAATGGCATGCTATTTGTTTGCCTGACAGGTGAAGCGCTACCAGTGTACCTTTGAGGGCTGCCCTCGTACCTACAGCACTGCAGGCAACCTGCGCACCCACCAGAAGACTCACCGAGGGGAATATACCTTTGTGTGCAATCAGGAAGGGTGTGGAAAAGCCTTCCTCACATCCTATAGTCTCAAAATCCACGTCCGAGTCCACACCAAGGAGAAACCATTTGAGTGTGATGTTCAAGGCTGTGAAAAAGCCTTCAATACACTGTACAGGTAAGGGAAGGGACTTTCCTTTCCTCATTAGGAACCAGCAAGGTTAATCTTTGCAAGAAACTGGAAAAATGATAACCAATTAAATTTAGAGGGATGGTATAGAGCAGTGGTTCTTAACCTTTTTTACTTGGATGCTTTTGAACTGCAACTCCCAGAAACCCCAGTCAGGACAGCTGGTGATGGAGGCTTCTGGGAGTTGCAGTCCAAAACTCCTGAGTAACCCAAGGTTAAGAACCAGTGGTATAGAGAATTATGGGATATGGCAATTAATGATAAATTGACATGTGGCGTGAAAATAAGAAGCCTATTTTTAAGAAAATATGGAGTGTCTTCTTGGAATTTGTATTTCAGAGAGGGAAGGGGCATACACCGAGGGAAGAAATAATGAATTTTTGGAGAGAAAATGGACTGAATGATTTTTTTTAAAAAAAAATACTGTTAATACTACCCCTGAGGGTGAAGGTGGCACTGGTGTTTTATATATATATGTAATTGTATTTTAGGTTTATGTTGTGTAGATTGGATGTCTGTTTAATAAAATAAAATAATTTAAAAAAAACATTCAGAGAGGGGAAGGAGCTGTTTGCTGTGAAATTTGGCAGCAGACTATCCTAGGTAATTTCAAGCAGTTAGGTGGTATGACCAGTAGACTTTCCACCTGCATATGGCCGTATGATTTCGCTGCTGCAGTTTGGCAGCAGACGCCTGCCTCTGCTGTGTTCAGTAGGTTCAGGGGATTCCTGTGGTCACCACGTGACTCTCCTTCTTGTTGTTTGGCAGGTTAAAAGCCCACCAGAGGCTTCACACAGGGAAGACATTTAACTGTGAATCAGAAGGCTGCAGCAAGTACTTCACGACGCTCAGTGATCTGCGGAAGCACATTCGGACTCATACCGGAGAGAAGCCATTCCGGTGAGCCCTCAGGTGGCAGGGTGGTGGGACCCTGAGGAGGTGCCTCCCCCACCCCCACCCCGATCCTCCTGAGACACTTCTTGAACTTGGGGTCCTGCTTCCGTTCAAGCCCCAGCTGTTCCGTGGTTGGCCTAAAAAAACCTTAGAGTCCTTTCTAATCCTGATTCTGCAGGGCACCCACTTCCATCGCTGGTCAGGTCCACATGTGTGTTTAAAGCCCCTGATGTGGCCGTTTGCGCTGGTACTTGTTCAGAAGGTTGGGTTTCAGCAGTGTTGCTACTGTGGCGGGGGTGAGAGGTCCTAATATGAGGTGTTACTTTCTCTCTCCCACCCCCACCCCTGACACAGGAACCTCTTGCTGTGGTGAAGCTAAGGTGTGAAGTGTTGTCAGAGGCTCTTTTCGGGGGGGGGGCAGGATCAAGTTCATATAGGCTAACATTCTGCCTATTCCCTTTGCTTCTTTCTCGCTGTGGCTACAGTCAAAGACAGATAGTTATCCAGGCAGGCTCCTGTCCTGCAGAAGCTTTTGTGCTGGGGGGGGGGCAGATCAGTGCCTGTCTGTTGTTTCTGCAGTAGGAAGGATGGTCTGTGCCTGGAAGGGATTTCTGCTGACCACTCCCCGCCCCTCCCTTAACCCTGTAGGTGTGACCATGACGGCTGTGGAAAAGCTTTTGCTGCCAGCCACCACCTGAAGACCCATGTCAGGACCCACACGGGTGAGTCAGCGTGGATCGGGTGGCGGCTTTTCTTTTGGGACCCTTAAGGATGCCATTGGGTGTTGTACGGCAAAGAGGATTTTTTGCATCATCTTTCTTGGTGGAAGGTTCAAGGTTAATAAAGTGAAACTTGCCCAGACAAGGCCTGGGGCTCCTGTGCCATTTGGGTAAATTCTTTTATTTTAAACTCGTCTGCACGAGGATCTTGCACAGTGTGCAGACCCTCCTCCTCCCTGCAATGAGAACCACAGGGCTTTGAGTCCTTCTGGGTTTCGGTGCTAGGTGTGTGACCCTTTGAGAACAGCTTAGAGGAGGCTGCAGTGCGGAAGAGGTGTTTCTAGGATTGTGTTATTTGGGCTTTTGCTGTCAGTGTTTCCATATCTTAATTCTAAGAGGCACTGGGCTTCTTTGAAGAAAATGGTGCCCCAAAAATGTCATAAGTAATAGTCTTGTTCTTATTCAAGACTCCAGATCTGCTGAGCTGCCAAGAACCCAGAGACTGCTGGACTTATACGGATCCCTGCACATATTTTTTTCTTTGTAGGTGAGAGGCCCTTCTTCTGTCCCAGCAATGGCTGCGAGAAGACCTTCAGCACACAGTACAGTCTCAAGAGTCACATGAAGGGACATGAGAAGGGGCCTTCGTATACCTTGCTCTCCAGCAACAACCTCTCTGAGGTGGGTGTCTTTCTCCTGGTTAGAAGCTGGAGCCTAACAGGATCTAAAGGGCCACAGCTTGTCCCCACCCTAGTCTCAACACTGATGGCAGCCTTCCTCTCTGCTCTAGGATATGAACCACTCACTCTGCCTGAGCGACTTGAGCCTCATGTCCACAGACTCAGAACTGCGGGATAATTCAAATCCAGTAAGCAAGACTTTTGTGTTCAGTTGTGACAGCCTCGGAGGCAGCAATAAATTCTTGCTGTTCCTTTATTCAGGCCTGATACTGTGTGGTTGTTTTTTGTGATGCTGCTTAAAGCAAGCACACGTCTTTGGTCTTTTGTGGGCTGGGTGTGTTGAGAGATGCTGTGTGGTGGTGCCTGGCCTGAGTTTCTGCAAAGGCTTGGGGATGACCTCCTGGTTGATGCTGAGTAGCACATTTTGCTCCCTTCCCCAGATACCAGGGCAAGACCTGAGCACCATCTCACCAGCAAGCATCTTTGAGTCCATCTTTCAGAGCCCAGACCCTCCTGCAAATCAGGAAGAATCTCACCCCCCAGGTAACTCTGCTTCGTATCTCCCTCCTCTTGGCTCCTTTGAGGGCTGTTAGTTGTCTTAGAAAGGATGGCGGTTCTGCAGGGCATCTGCCTGAGGCAGCTGTCCTAAGGCTTGAAGCCTGGCAGGCCTCTGAAGCCAAGTGTGCAGAGTTGGGTGCAGGAACAACACCTTTTTAGAAGCAGGAGAAGCCAAGACAGGTTTCTGAGGGAAAGAGCCCTGCCAGCGGACTGTTTCCAAGACCTCTGCTTCTCTCCTGGCTTTTTGCTCCCTCGGCGCTGCCCTTGGCTAGTGGTAGTAGTGGAGGCGCCCTCTCTCTGCAAGGAGTTTTGTAGAGGATGTTCCCCACTGAGTTAGCCACCAGAGGAGGCTTGGTTGTGGCCCGCTTAGCCAGCTTGAATAAGTTTGAGGTCAGAAGCAAGAAGAGCTGTTTCAGTGCGTCCTGCTGGAGGCTTTGGGGAAGTAGGTCCATGGTCCACAACTGGCTCAGGCCATGTCAGAGAAACCGCCATTGGGCACAAGGGGCCTCAGGAGATGCTCCAGCCAGAGTGGGCCTTTTGCCAGAGAAGGTCTTCCATGTCATGCAGAGCTTTCTCATAGTGCTTCCCATGTTGCTTGACAGACACCTTGATCGGGGATTTTGATCGTGACACAAAGCCAGCCCCTGCGGTCCCACCAGCACCAGGAGAGTCTGCTTCGTTGCCCCTGCCTCTTGTCCTGCAGCTCGGCATCTCTGAGCCTTCCCCTCCAGCACTGCCTCCTCCAGCTCCCACTGACACCCCGGCTGGTGTCCTTCAGGCTCCTGAAGTGCCTGCTTCGATCTGCACGCCATTTGCAGCCAACCCCCAGGGCTTCCTGCAGCCTCTGCAGGTGCCCACCCAGCTGCCTGAAGCAGGACTTCCTGGGGTTACGGGTCCCACAGCTGTGCCACCAGCAGGGGCGACGAGTACCCCTGAAGCTGTGCCTGCGGGAGGGAGCACTGGGCTGGCCAGCAGCCCCCCCATTACCCTCACGCCCTCACAGAAAGCTGCTCTTCTGCAGTCCAGCATCATGGTGGGAGAGCAGAACCTCCAGTGGATTTTGAACGGCGCTGCTAGGTCATCTCAGAACCAAGAACAAATGGTGAGTGAGCCCCCTCTCTTTCTTGCTCCATTCTTCAGGGCTTTGGCTGTGCAGGGTCTGGGGCAAGGAAGACGGGCCATTAGTTCTGTGTGGGATGGCAATGGTTTGTGGCGCTGTTTGTGTGAAGCGTGAACTGGGGACTTGCTCCCCTCCCCTCCTTTTCTCTCCTGGGCGTGGGGTGTGTGCATGTGCCAACCTGCCATTCCTTTTTTGGGTTGTGGCTCATTTCCTGTCTCTTTTCCAAGCCACAGGCCCCCGTGGTGGAGAAGGTCTTCTTCACGACTGCCCTGCCGGTTGCCGGCAACACAGGTAAGGAGTGTCTCCCAGGGTCCTGTTTTCTCTGTCCTCGTGGGTCTCTCTCACCCAGAGGATGTGCTGGGTGGGAGGGGATTCTCTTGAGACGAGCAGGCAGAGGAGCTATCAAGAGAAGGTGAGCACATCCTTGAACTGTGAGAGACGGGGCTGCTCAGGCCTTGATCCCAGCCTGACAGCAGAAACCAAAGGCAGGAGAGCCGGAACTGAGACCTGACAGGGTTTCTCTGTGTGTGTGTGTGTGTGCGTGTGTGTGCGTGTGTGTGCCTGCCTGCCTGTCTGTCTCCAGGGAGCTCCATGCAGCAGATTGGACTGAGTGTGCCCGTCATCATCATCAAACAGGAAGAGGCCTGCCAGTGCCAGTGTGCCTGTCGGGACTCAGCAAAGGACAGAGTTGGTGGTGGTGGTGGTGGTGGTGGTGGCAGCAGCGGCAGCAACAACAGCAGCAGCAACAACAGCAGCAGCAGCAGCTGTTCCTCATTGGGCTCCAAGACGTCCGGGGAGCCCCCACCTCCAGCCTTCCCTGTGATCCTGCCCACCAGCACCCCTTCTCCGGCGGTCCTCGCCTCCATGTTGCCGCCTCCTTGTGAAGACAGCTGCCTGGCGGGGAACCCGTCCAATGTGCAGAACCAGTCCCTAAGTGCCATGGATGTCTCCGACTTCCTTTCCCTCCAGAGCCCCGAGGCATCCTCCGCTCTGATCCCCATCGAGGCCCTCCTGCAAGCGGGAGAGGAGGAGGAGGAGGAGGAAGAGCTGGCCCTGGGAGGCAGCTTTCCCAAGTGAGGCCCTCCTGCTCTGGCTGACCAGGATGGAAGGAGGAGAAGCAGGGGCCTGCTGAGCCCAGGAGGCTCGGGTCGAGTCTTCTCTCTCAGGAGGAAGAGCACCCTGTTGTCTGGACTGCTGGACTGCACTCTTTTGTCACTTTGGCTTACTGTGACCCGGACACAGGAATCGGTCACTTTAACAGGATGTGGGAGGGCCAGTGGCTCTCCCTCCTTGCACCGGGTGGTGGTGGTGGGGTGGAGGCAGGGGCGGTGATGGAGAGCAGTGCTGGCAGCAGAGGTGGATCTTGTTACAGCCCAGAGGGCTCTTTAGTACGATGTGTGCACTATTATACTGTGGGGGTGAGGAGGAGATGCTGATCTCGAGAGGCATCAGACTGCCCCATGGGCCCTGGTTGTTGGGATGCCAGCTCCCTGCCAGGGGGTGGGGTCCCACCGTCAGTGCCAGGAAGAGGCCAGCCTCTGCTCCCTGTAGGTCTGTCTCCTTGCTAGCTTTCAGAGGACTGGAAATGCCAGCCGGGTGCATCCTCTCCTCCGATTCTGAAGACAAGGAGACGAGCTTGCTCTGTAGTGGCCGTGCGGCTCCCACATCCATGTTAGGGCTGCTGCTCCTGCTCAGTATTGGAAGGCTGCATCTGCATGTTGTTTGTGGGCTAAGGGTGTGCGTACTGCTTCACTCTTACCAGAACCACTTGCCCAGCAGCATCAACATGGCACAGAAGATGTGGGTCTTTGGTGTAGAGAGGCCTGCAGAGTCTCCACTTTGCCCAGACAGAAGAGCTTGTGTCGCTTAGGAAAAGCTTCGGCAAAATGCATCCCCTGAATACATTGTTGTGTCTTTGTCTGGTGGCTTCGTGATGGCGCTGCATCTTCAGAGCGGCCCCCTCTCTTTGTTCAGTCCTCCAGCTCTTCCCAAAGGCTTCCTCTTACTCATGTAAGAGTATCTACTTTTGCGCCTGCCTCCTGCAGAGGGGATGTGCCCCCTTTCTCACTTTCTAGCTCACTCAGGGTAAAATCCTAACATAGATTCCCCTCCACCCCAAAGCCTGTAAGGTTTCATGAAATCTCCTTTTTAAAATGTTCTATTTATATGATATACCATTTAAAAAAAATACTAATAGATGCCATCTAGAGAGTTATTTCCTGTTTGGGTTTGGCAGCCAGCCTCCTTTATGTTTTAGGGAAGGAGGGTGTTCCTTTTGTGTGTGGAATGTCCCTCCTGGAGGTCGTGGCAGCAGGAAGGAAGGAAGGAAGGATTCTTGCATGCAGGTAGCACAAGGGTCCTGCCCGGCAGGAGGGGAGGAATTCTGTGGCTGAGACCACCTGGTGGCCTGTCTCACTCTGGGACAATGGGACACAGTGGAGCTCTCTTCCTCCACTCTTGCTCTATCCCTGGAGTGTGGCAAGACTTGGTACACCTTGGGCTCTTCCTAGCAGCACAGCACAGGCCTCCCGTGGCACCTTTTTTGGGCTGCTTGGTCGAATGGGAGAAGGTTTCCCTGGGTAGAATCTAGAAGGCTGGCTTGAACCTTCTCTGGAAGGAAGACACAGGGGAGCTGACTGGCCAAGGAGCCCTTAGGAAGCCCGGGTTTGTTGAGTTTCTCCAATCATTTTGGTTATTTATTATTAGTAGATAGAACACAGGCAGGCTGTTCTGCTGAACTGTCTTCCCATATGCCAGTGGGAGTTGAGGTGCACCTGGCTGGGTGTGGCAAAACTCCTGGGTTGATCAGGCATGGGTTTGGGCTTCTTACCTGCTGGGGCATGTGGGGGCTGGGGGCTAGTATGTCACTGAACTGGAGGTGAGATACCATCTCCTTTGCTTGGCATAGTCAGGGCCCGGAAGGGGGGTCTCTTTGGTCTTCCAGGCTGATGTGATCTTGCTTTTCAACCAACCCTGCTCTGTTCAGAGTTCCAGCAGGAGGGAGGTGGTTACTCGAAGAAGCTGCAGCATAGACGGCAAGAGTGGGCTTCTCTCTGGCCCATGTGAAGAACGTGCCAGGCTAGAAGGAGAAGGCTGGAGGCGTCTGTTGTGTTTGCTGGAAATTGCTGCCAGAGTCTAGAGGAGGCAAATTCTTTGCTGGGGGCTGCCCATTTACACTAACATGCTGGTCTCTAAAATGCACTTTAGTTCTCTTTATGCTGACTGCTGCAATTTCATTTGTAAATAACTTCACAAAGTTAGTAGGGAGGTTTCTCCTTTTTTGCTCTGATAGAAGTTCACATGGGTGTGCGAAAAGAAGAGCACTTAACCTCAGTGCAATACGTGTAGCTAGGAGTAGAGGCCACGTGCACTCTCCTGAGGGTGTGTATGTGTTTCTGTGTCTGTCTGTCTGCGTATGTCTGAGTGTATGAGGCTCATGGAATTTATGTGGGAACCATCTCAAGCTGTGTATGCTACCCTCTTCTTGACGTAGTTGTTTTAAAAGGAAAAGTCTGGTCTATGCAAAACTTCCATTAGGAGCTTGAGCTGGTGGGAATCAATTCAAGTCACTCATTCTTTCTGAATTGAGGTTGGTCGCTTCTCAGATACAGTTCTCTTCGCATATCATAAGAGCCACCCCACTCTTTTGAATGCCCCATAGCAGGAAAGTGGGGTGGGGAGGGGAAAGCGGGTTGTCCTTAAATAGGCAGAGAGAATCTTCTTGGACTGACCTGCTTGGTCTTCTGGAGGTCACATTCCGGCATTACTTTACACCAAGGGGCTACATTCAAGAGGTGGCAGGATCCCTCTGGTGTCATTTTAAAGGATTTCAAGCCCACTCCTGCACCTTCTTCCTATCAGAGGTGCAAGAAATCTGAAACCCTAAAGGTACCCAAAGGAAAGCTGCTCTTGACAGCTCAGAACACAGGGAAGGCGGCAGGTCCAGGAGGGGTGAGCTGCTCTCTGGAAAACCACCATGAAAAGCTGTTCCTCTTTGCAAAGCCAGTTGGCCTTGGCAGGAGGTGGCGTGACATTTCAGCATTCCACACTCTGAAATAGTTTCTCTGCTGGGATATTGTTCTTAGCTGTTTCTAGACATAGGATGGCCCCTCTTCATAAGCATCCCATCTCACTGGGAGAGAGGGCTGATTTTCTGCATTCTGCACTGACTGTGGCTGTTTCTTTCTTAGGTTTGGACTCTTGTTCTGCACTGAGAAATGCCAAGGAAACTGGATATTTATGTAGGGCATGTGTATCTGTGTGTGTGGGAATGGTGTGTCACCCGCACGGTGTTTTCTGTGGTGTGCACACTGGCCAAAAATGGTTTCTATGCAGTGGACACTTTCTGAGTAAATGCAGTTTATACTTTTCTTAACACTTGGTTTTGTGTTCCCCAATACAATCTTCACCAGTAAAGCCTAGGGAGAGGTTATATAGACATATATATATCTATTTTACAATCTGTTAATTGATGTTGGCTCCTTCCTTTGCTTTGCAGGTTCTCTTTCTGACTGCTCAGCTAGTGAAGCTCTTGGTGTAAAGAAACGGAGGAGCCGTCATTCTCTCTAGTACAGTAATTGGTCTGAATTCAGGACCTGGAGAGGAATGTAAAGGCTCCGTCTTGAATTGGAGGCAGGATGCAGGCTGTCCCTTTCTGAGTGGAACTGCTTTGAGGCCTACCTGGTGATGGTCCCTTGCACTACCCTTGAAAGTGTGTGTGTGTGTGTGTGTGTGTGTGTTGGCAATCTGTCTGTCTGTGCTGAGCTGGGAAGCATCATGGGCGGGGGGGGCAGGGAATGCCATGTGTCAGACAGGAAGAGGATTAGGTGGGGGGAACAGAATTGTTCCGTTGAGGGGGGCGGCTGGGGGTCCTTTCTTCACAACCACTACTTCTCTGTGTGAGGTATGCGGTTACATCTTAAAAGTGAGGGAGAGCGAGACTCCCAAAGGTGCTCAGAGACCTTTTGCAAAGTGCCTTTCTGCCCCCCCGCTCCCCCTCCCCGCCAGCCTGGATGACACAAGCCGGGCACCTAAATTCTTCCGTGGCAACGCATGGCTGTGGTGTGGCTGAGCTTTAGGAGGTGCAGCAGAACTTTGTCCTTGGTTGCCACCCGGTCTCCGGAGCCCCAGGAGGATGATTCAGAGTTGCCGGTTTCTCTCAGGAGTGTGTGTTTTATGTGGAGGCAAATTTAAGTGTAACTCTGAAACATGGGAACAAATGTCCTCGCCTTGACAGAGGATCTGAAGGTGTTTGTTACAGGTACCGTACTTCCAAAGGAAGCGCCTCTCCAAAACCCCAGAAGCATAAACACGAATTTGTATTTTTGAAGAATGTAAAATGTGAAATAACAGTGTTTGCTTAACTGCTCCATTTTGTATAAAAGTAATATTGTACTTTGAAATACCTGCAAGGATATGGAAATTAATTTTTTAATTGAAAGCAATATTAATACCAATGGGATCTAATTAAATGCTTATTTAAACTTGGTGCTTTGGAAGGGATCGTTTGTGGAAGAGGGCTGCAGTTCCACCCGGGCGGGGCCACAAACGCCCGGTTCCAGTTCATGCGGGGCTGAGAGGGCCATGCCCGGTGCGGCGGGCGGGAGGTCTAGGCAAGGGCC